TAATTATTAGCAATTGAAAAAAACGGCAATATTCGACCATTTTTGAGCTCTTGTGCATAAACAAATTATCGGAATTTAATCGGACTTTTTTCATTTTATAGGCTTATTTAATACCTACCTTTTTTGTATAAACTTTTTTTCGCTATGAATAATAGCTTTTTTACGTGAGTCAAAAAACCACTTTTCCATAACTTTGACCACTGTTAAAACAAAGTTTCCCAACTACCCTCGAGTTGATTTTTTGGTATTTTATTTATAACAGGTTTCCGAACAATATTCCGCAGAGAAACTTCTAATAGTATTTTTTTCCCGAAACAGGCTCTTTCATGTCTATAATGACTGGGCTATACGATTTAAACACATTTATCTGTTGATAAGTCAGTTTCTACTGAAAATTAGTTCTATAAAACCACTTTTATCATATCTCAGTTGGTATAAATCATAGCAAAAATTTATTATAATCACAAATTTAGAAAGAAGGTAAAGACTAGAATACTCCTAAATTCTCGATTGTTCGTAACTCATTAGTAGAACACTTTTTACAAAAAATAATGTGGTGTTAAAAAAATTTCTGCGTTTTTTTTCAAAATATCTACAATTTAAAAAAATTTACTTTCCAACATTTCTTGGAACAATTTATCAAATCAAAAATTAGAAAATGATAAATAGATTTTAACATAAATACAATACACAATAATCGAACGTACTACAATGTATAAGGCTACTAACTGTAGAATAAAATGAAAAGTAAAAGAAATATTTTAAAAACAAGCTTTTATTAAAATACACTAAAAAAACACAATAAGGTTGAATATGGCTGCTTTATAGACGTGTCATCAGCAAAAGTATGATAAATAGACACGTACTATCTACAGGGTGGCACAAAAGTATGGAAGCCCCTGAATAACTCGTCTGGAGTGCATTTTTTTGAAAAATTATAAATACAAAAGTTTTAGGATTTTTTCTTGGCTATTCAATGGCGCCCTTGTATTCGACCTTCGAGATCATTTCAAGGTCAAAATTGTTTTAACAAATGGGAACCACTATTTTTTATTACGGATTTGAAAAGCGCAGGAAATTTTACGTTCAAGTAAGACATTGACCGTATCTTTGACCACGACCTTCAAGGTCACTCCATGATCAAAGGTGTTTTTTCAACAAGAACCGCTATCTTTTATTATGGATTTGGAAAGTGCATGAAACTTTACGTTCAAATTATGACCTCGACCATATCCTTCACTACGACCCCTTGACCATGGTCTCCAAGGTCAAGGTTGTTTTCAATAGAAAACGCAAGTTTTTATTGCGCATTTGCAAAGAGCTTAAATTTTATCTTCAAATGCAGCCTCGACTACGACCCTGTCAATGACCCTCGAGGTCATGTCAAAGTCAACGTCATTTATTTACATTAACTTTTTTTGTTAAGCTACGAAAAACAAGTTTCATGCACTTTCCAAATCCGCAATAAAAGTAACGGTTCCGGTAAACAAAACAACTTTGACCTTGGAGTGATCTTGAAGGTCGTGGCCAAGGTCACACTTGAACGTAAAATTTCCTGCTCTTTCCAAATCCGCAATAAAAAATAGGGGTTCCCATTTGAGAAATCAATTTTGACCTTGAAATGTCCTTAAAGGTCAAGGTCAAGGTCGAATACAAGGGCGCCATTGAATAGCCAGGGAAAAATCCTAAAACCTTTTTATTTATCATTTTTCAAGAAAATGCACTCCTGATGAGTTATTCAGGGGTTTCCATACTTTTGTGCCACCCTGTATATTCAGTATGTTCATGTTCTTATGCGATTTAAAAGCTTGTCGCGAGATATATTCCTAATTGGAATTTTTATTTTAAGGGGTAAGTTAAGGAAATATTGTCTCCAATTTCTTGGTCAATATATGGGATCAAAAAATTGGAAAACGCAAAGACGATATGGGTTAGCTTAATACAGTCATCGCAAGGCAACATATTGTACATACCACACCAGTAGCGCTAAATAGCAGCATAATACTAATTCATTTCCTTAGAGCTACTAAATAATGCAAAATGTTAAATACCATTTACTTGAATAATCTACATTAAAATTATCGTATTAGGGTCTGGCATATTATTTATTGAAGTAAATAATTGACACATTAGCTTAATACGTAAAATTTGGAGCAAGTAACTAATAACTAATTCATACAGCACATTTCCATTTCGCCTTTGCATCAGACTTATTTCATTAAATGCTTTACTAACACTGTTCTGGTGGCATTGTGTATGCTCATTGTGTTGTGGTGTTTAGCCGGAAGCAGCGGAAATGACGCAGGAAATGGGAACAACGGGAGTGGAAGTGGTGGCGGTGGAAAACAACAGCACACCAGGCGTCGCACGCAACGTCGCGTCACGCACAACGAGAAACGATATCATTCAGGTTCGCCCGCGGAATTGGCTCCCTGTATTTGTTTGCTTTGCTCGTTTTGCATCCTTCTAGAATTTTAAGAACTTTGTCTTGGATTTACTACCCCTTTTTCAACACGTGACATCACCCAACAACTTCGTGCCATGGAAATGGATATCAGTTGACTAGAAAATGTATCTTCGTAATATACGACCGATTCTAAAACAAGATTTACTGTGTCACTTTTAACAATCAAAGGTATTCGGATTATAATCTTTGAATTTAATACAAAAGGTCTTTACAACACTCCACCATATACAATGCAGCTCAAAATAAGTCGTTTACCTTAGTTCAAAGTTGCTCCGTTTGGGCGGTTTGACACCGCTCTATAGGACAATAAACCCCAAGCAAAATTGTGAGTAATATCAATTCATTGGCGTAGAACTTGGGTTTTTTAGTAATTACACCTTCCATAATTCTACGCCAATGGAAGAAAAGAATTTTAAGTATATAAATTTAGATTAAGCAAATTATTTACTACAAAAAAGGTACTCCACTCGATTACTTTCATAGTTTATTCGAAATTTGTAATTTTAATCATTGGCATTTTGACACAAAAATTAAATTAGGAAAACATGAGTGCAAATAAATAAAGATGTCGTAGTAGCTGTTCAAAGTGGCCACCATTTACACGCATACAAAGATTTACACAACTAAGAAAATTGAATTCTACTCTTTCCATAATTTCTTCGTCACCTGTAAGAGTATTTGTTGCATCTTGAAGACGTTGCCACAGTTGCTCTTCGTTTTGTACCTATGTGATGTAAACCACGGACTTAAGATGATCCCATAAAATATAATCGAATGGATTTAAGTCGGGAGAACGTGGTGGCCAATTTACAGGAGCGTCGTTACCTATACCCATCCATTTGTTTAGGTACTGTTGATTTAAGTGGTTACGAACAGATAATGAAAAATGTGGTGGAGCCCCATCATGCATAAACCTCATATCTTTCCGAAGTTGTAGGCGTATTTCCTCTAACAAGTCTGGCAACGTATTTTGTAGATGTTCCAAATAAATTTCTCCCGTTAGTCTCTGTGGTAAAATGACAGGACCAACGATAAAATTTCCAATTATTTCTGCCCACTCATTATTTTAAATTCGTGTTGAAAATGTCTAACTTTCACTGTGTGCAGATTTTCGTCTGCATAAACGTGTTCATTTTGGAAAGACGTCTCTCCACAGCAGCAATCGTTGGGTTCCTTAGCATACGACGATTTGGAAATCTTTCAGAGTACACTCTGACACACTTTCGACCATTTTTTTCAGAATATGAAAATTTAACTCGAATTATTAAGAAAATGAGAAACTTTTGAATCTTGGTAATAATGTAGGTGTCTTAAATGTGACAAGTTTTATTTACTTGAAACTATGACAACAAACAAAATTATTTTTGTAAAGACAAGTACCTGGAAACTTGTGAAAAAAACGCACACCGAAAAAAGCTAATACACAAAAACCATATGGAATACGCCGCAACAAATAAGCGTATTTGTTAAAAAGTCTCATTTTTATTTGAAGAATATCAGGAACAATTGTAAATAATTTTTTCCTAATTTAATTTTTGTATCAAAATTGCTGCCAATGATTAAAATTAGAAATTTCCAATAAACCATGAGAATAATCGAGTCTTTCAAGAGTACCTTTTTTGTAGTAAATTATTCATTTAATCTAAATTTTGTACTTAAAATTCTTTTTTCGATTGGCGTAGAATTATGGAAGGTGTAATTACTAAAAAACCCAAGTTCTACGCCAATGTGTTGATATTAGTCATAATTTTGATATGGGGTTTATTGTTCTATAGAGCGGTTTCAACTTCCAAATTTTAACAAAATCACATAAGGCGTTTTCAATTTATAAAAAAACAACGATTTCAAAATTGCAACTTCTGGGCCGTATACCTCCCAAACTACCCAAACGGAGCAACTTTGAACTAAGGTAAGTTTAGGTAAATCAGCATATTTTGAGCCACATTGTATCTGGTGGAGCGTTTTAAAGACCTAAGTTATCACCTAAATTAGTTTGAGAGCTATTAATATCTCACGGGTCAGTCACAGTTTTACAAATTTATTCCAACTACAACAAACCAAATTAATTTGAGCCCTGAGGATCTGTGCCTATTGGCAAAGTAGTGGAGTAGGGAACGGATTCACTTTTACTATCGGCACAATATATACAGGGTGATTCATTAACAATGAGAAAGTCGAAAGCTGACGATACTACACGTGAAATGGTGACTATTGGCGCAAACATGCCTTATCCGAAAGTTAATAGTTTCGGTAATACAGGATGATGAAAGTTAAAATTTTAAATCGTTTTTTTGCGATTATTCTGAAAATATGTAGGTTAGGAACTTGAAAATTTGTGAAACTATATTTTTTTAGACGACGAATAAGATGCCTGTTGTAATTTCAGCATTGCTCGTAGAGGGCGCTACTTACAACCAATTTTACCGAAAATTTAGTTAATAATTTTTTACCCTGTATGTCTAACATGAAACTCGATTCAAAACCTGAAAGAGCAATCATTTTTCCATTAATTGTGTATTCTTGTTTCATTTCGGTATCTCGATTCGTTTTCGAGAAAAACCGATTTAACGAACACTATGTTTTGATAGTATGACGAATTAAAAACGAAACAAACCAAGTGTTTCTTCGTGTTATTACAACAATTAGCAATAAAACAAATAAAATACGTAATTATGATTTAAAGTAATTGTTCGAAGAATCCACCGTTGACACTTTGATACACTTTACACGTTTTCTGAGTGATCTTCGAGTTTGAAACAACATATTGGGATTGCGTCTAACTTCGTTGGCAGCGATTTGTATTCTTTGCCACAACACTTCACACGAGCCAATAGATTATTTGTAAACTATATCTTTCATTCGAGACCAAATAGAAAAATCAAGAGGATGAAAGTCCGGACTTCTGGATGGCCAAGCAAAAATGATTATATGGCCAATTACGCGATTTGGAAAAACTGCATCTAAATATGCACGCATTGGCTAGTGGAGCTCCGTCGTGCATGAACCACATGTCTCTTCTTAAATAAAGTGGAACTTCTTCAAGCCGTGGAAGCATTTTTACTTGGCCACCCAGAAGTCCGGACTTCAATCCACTCAATTTTTCTATTTGGAAGAATATATTGGTTCGTGTGAAGAGTTGTGGCAAAGAATACAGATCGCTGCCAACGAAGTCAAACGCAATCCCAATATGTTGTTCCAAACTCGAAGATCTCTTATAGCTGTTTTATATTGACAATTTATTGATGAATAAATTGACGAAGTTCTTCATGAATTAATTCACGAATTTATTGGTAAACAGTGTGGTTTTACACTGCTACAGACTTTGTCAAGTTTTTTAACGCATGAATCAGTTCTACCAACGAATCAAAGAAGCAAATATATTTCAAAAATGTCACCTTTCCACTCATAATTATAGTGATACAACAGTGGTACCGTTTTGACACATATTATATAAACATTAGTGTTTGCAAGTAACAAGTCAGTAAAAACAATGCAAAACTAGTACGACGCCACACAATTATTTACATATTCCAATAACATAACCTCATTACTGATCTGAGGCTGGAAATCTGTTGGGTTGGTACTTCCGAACTTCACGAAGAAATTGACGAAAATTAGAACATGCTCTAATTCGTCAAGAACTTGATGAATAAATTCATGAAGTTATTTGACAGCAGATTTGGTGCATTACACTTGTCCAATTTCTTGATGAAGCGACTTCATGAATTAATTGATCAATAATTTGTCAATGTTAAACAGCTATCAGAAAACGTTGTGTAAAGTGTGTAAATGTCAACGGTGGATTCTTCGAACACTGACTTTAAATCATTATTACGAATTTCATTTGTTTCATTCTTAATTGTTGTAATAACACGAAGAAACACTTGGTTTGTTTCGCTTTTAATTTCTCATATTATCAAAACATAGTTCGTTAAATCGATTTTTCTCGAAAATGGATCGAGATAGCGAAATGAAACAAGAATACAGTTAATGGAAAAATGATTGCTCTTTCAGGTTTTGAATCAAGTTTCATGTTAGACATACAGGGTAAAAAGTTATTAACTAAATTTTCGGTAAAATTGGTCGTTAGTGGCTCTACGAGCAATGCTAAAATTACAACACGCATCTTATTCGTCGCCCAAAAAAATATAGTTTCACAAATTTTCAAGTTCCTAACCTACATATTTTCAGAATAATCGCAAAAAAACGATTTAAAATTACAACTTTCAATACCCTGTATTTCCGAAGCTATCAACTTTCGGATAAGGAATGTTTGCGCCAATGGTCACCATTTCACATGTAGTATCTTCAGCTTTCGATTTTCCCATTGTTAATGAATCACCCTGTAGAAACAGTAAATTAACTGGCTGTATACCTATTTATAAAAAGTCGGCCTTACTTTGGTTTTTCTGTTAGTCTAGGCATAAGTAGGGGAAAGTAATTTGAATAATCCGTGGTCTGTATAAGTACAGGGTGTAAGAAGTATGACTGCCATAACTTCAGCATGAGATAGAGTAATCATAAATGAACAAAAAAGTTGTATATTACAGGGGCGTAAGATTAACAGTTTTTAAAATACAACGAGTATTAATATCGGGGAGTTTTATCACAACGTGACAACAGCGTTACACAGCTGATGCACGCGGCAGACTTGTCCTATGGAAAAAATGTAAACAACTATTATTGTGAAACAAGACAATTGTTTTCCAGTTTTTAAATAAAATAAAATAAATCAAAGTATGAATTTGAAAAATATGTAATTAAAGTACCCAAAGATTCACGTCGTCCAAATAATTGCACGTATTAAAAATAATTTAGGGGTTTACCAAAAAGCAAAATTCAGTCATTTTTAAACTCACAAGTACAAAAGAAACTACAACATATGCTCAAAATGTCCACCACCATTTACAATGCACGCACGACACCTTCGAGTCCAATTTTCGGGCACTCGCTGGAAAACACCTCAAGAAAAGGAAATAGTGGTACACAAAAAACACTCCACGGTCCAATTCCAGATACCAACACCAACTGAATTGTGTATTACTGAACAGCTTAGTACCTCGTGTTAACCGCCGCGTCGTTGTCACATTGCTCGATATGAATTTTATCGAATTTTAAATGTATTACAACGTTAATTATTTTTAAGAATTAAGCATAAAGAAGTTAAAAAAATCATAAACATTGTGTTCTATGATATTCAATGCACGCAGTTATGTCAATATTCCTTAATTAATCGAACTTTTGTAGATGAAGTTAGATTTTTTGATATTTTTTTTTTCTCGGAAATGGTTGAGTTTAGGACCCATGTCATAAGGTTTTTTTGTTTATTTTAACATATTCTATCGTCTGTTAAAATTACGGCAGTCAAACTTCTAACACCCTGTACTACAAAACTGCATCTGTCTTTATAAATGTAACAACTATAAACTTGAAACTAATCTGTCAGTTTATTAGTAATGACGATTTAGACAATACTTTTTTGAATCAATGTGAAATAATTGGATTAGAACATCACGCTATTATTCTGGCAAGATGTGCTCAATATTCCGACGGTAGAGTTAGCATCATCTAGGCTATTTTGCGGATTTGGCCCTATCATATTCATTTGTTTCCAAAACTAAATGAAATCCTTGATATCCACCAAATTTTGTCAGATAAATATGTTTAGAATTTTCGGAACGGTATAGAAACTTTGGAATTTCACTGGATTATGCCTAGACGTTCAAAGAGAAAGTATTGAAATATAAAAGGAAATTATGTATACTAATTAGGCGCCTTTAATCTCTCTTGGAGGTTCGACGTCATGTCTTTGGAATAGAACACATAAATTTGTTAATTAGAACTTGTCACACCCATATTTAGATATCTTATTTTACTTGCAACAGATTATTAATAAAAACACCTCTCTATATTTTTTTAATGAACTTGTTAATGTTTCACTTAGATATTCATACGTTAATGAATTGACATATATATTCCAAGATCAAGCTAATTGAGGTTATGTAATGATTTTTCCGACAATTTGAAGAATTATAATATTATGTGGTTTTGTTGAGAATTTTTCAAATTATCCTAGTAGATTTAATGTACCAAAGCACAGTTACTATTAGGCTCACGATGAAATAATAGAGGGATTATGGTCCAAAAACAACACGGAATTTGGTTTACTGTATCTCTATATAGTGTGCTGTTACTTTACCTATTGCCTGCATTTTCATCACATTCTATATGAGCGTTCTCTTTTTAATTTGTACATTACAGTGTACAAGTATTTGACCAGTTGTACTTAGCAGTATAGGTGGAGTAATGATGATAATAGCCGGATCTATCTTCTCCCCTCTATTATCTTAAAATGTTTTATACCATTTTCAAACTTAACTAATTTTTTCATAATTGTACTGCCGAGCCATCGATTTAAGAAGTTATTAATCAAAATATAGTTTGATCATTAGCATTTGAGCAATAGGCATTTAAAAAAATAAATTGAACATTCTTTTATACAGGGTATAACAGCGACGTTACCACAATCTTTCAGGACTGATTCTTGTTGTCAAAATAAACAAGAGAAAATTAACATTATTTTCGAAAATGATTCCTTGGATGAGCTCCCGTTTTATAAGAGAAATGTAGTTTTTGATCAATTAATCAAGTACCGTTAAAGATGTAGACCTCAAAGTTGTACTGCAATCTGTAGTTTACTCATAGTAGCTATCCACATCCCCAGTAGCACAAGATACGGGCCCAATATTGGCGTCAAATAGGTATTACTAGGGACTATTAAATCTAGGCCCAATATTTGGAACATTTAGGCAATATTGGTAAAAGATAGGCGTCTAATGTATTCAGTTAATATAATACCTAAAAAAATTGGTATAATTTAAAATGTTGTACAAATTCGCACTTATTTCAATAAGAGATAACCAGCCGGATAAATTCTACCTAAAAATTAGAGCAAAATAATTAAAACAACTCAAGAAGTATAAAAGCTGTCATTGGAAATGGGCTGTCCGAATCTGTAAAAGAAGATTCCTAATTCGAAGCCACCACCTGTTTCCAATTGGGGATTATTTATTATTATCGATCGCCGAAATTATAAAAAAAAATAGAATATCGTGAATATAAAGATCCTCTGTCATGCGTATACGTTTGTAGACAATTTTAGAAATCGAAGCTGTATGCCAAATTTGCAAGAAATAGCTTCAGTCGTTGCTTTGTAATTTCAAACAAGTAGATTTTTCTCAAAATTTGATGCCTATACCTCAAAAAAACAAACGTTTCCGGACATATGTTTACAGATCTTTTTTTTGTTAGTTTGTGATGTAAAACCCGCCAGTAAAGTTTGGCATTCCAGTGATTAATCCAAAACTGTCTTTTAAATTCAATATTTGAACAATCGTAGAACCTTAGAAATCGTTTAAAAAAAAAAGAACGTTATTTTTGTTTTGAAAAGAGTAACCACTCCTGAAAGTTAGTTGCGATGTTGCTGTTACACCCTGTATTTATGACTCATATATTTGTAGCAAAAGAAATGAAATTTATAGTCAGTATTATTATTATTGTTATTATTTAAAATAGATACCTGACTAGCCATTTTTTAAAATTCCTTGTTTACCAGACTACGAAAACTTTAAATCTAATGTGTAAAGTATTAGAAGTTGTGTTGAAATATGAAAAATATGAGATGTACCTATTCTAAAACACTCCTCCACCCCCATAAAATAAACTTATTCATTTTTAAACAAAGAACATGACAAGTATGAGGGTACCAGGATTTGAAAACTTAAACTGGAACAAAAGAGATCTATTATAAAATTGGAGTGCAATAAAATTCACAAACAATTCAGGAGCAGGTTAGTCCTTGAAGAAGGAGATACGAATTTGTAAATTGCGTTTTCTAGTTTCCTGATATCTATCCGATATCGTATTTAGTAGTACCATATTCTCGTTCAATTTGTGGTTTGCATGGCTCAGTGTTGTTTTGCATGTAGATGTGGGTGATGGACAACCCAAGGAGGTCAGAAGTGGGGTCAGTCCAGCCGCTAGAGCTACGCGTCGGGGTAACCGACGCCTTACTCGTAACGAGAGCAGGTACCACTCAGGTAATGTATTAATGCTTTTGCCATTACAATTCAGTCATAACAATGCGGGGCATTTCTTTTAAATGCCATATCTCGTATAACTATTGTGTCTGATTGATTTGACAACCAAGAATAAAAGGATATAATGAGAACAGTTATATTGTTATAGTCTTTCCGAAGTCAGTTGAATATGCAAAAAACGTCTGGTAATAAAATTTAATGAGTTATGAGTTTCATAGGCGCCCCTAAAAAAAAAATTCTGCTAAAGGTAAAAAATTATAGTATGTAATTTGTATATAATGTGTAGAAAATTTCTATTATAAGTTCAGTTGGCCAACAACATATTTTAATTATTTATGTCCTCAAACAATTTTATTATATTAGTGGTAAATTTCGTTTTATTCCGTTTCAATAGGTCTCCAAAATGCCATGTTGTGATAATATTAGTAAACAAAATATCCCTCTTATTTCTCCCTTTTGCAATTGTAATATGAATGATTGATAGAAGGTGCCTATAATAAATTAAAATTACCTCCTGAATCACACCAAATTCCGCATTCAATATTCAAATTCAATACAAGTCTTTTCTTCAGTTTGACCTTGAAACGATCTTTACCTGACATCCAGGTGACCTTAGATAGCTAAGCTATCCAAGAATTCACGTTCAGCGATCCCAAAAGCATTGTACCTACTGGTCAAAATTCATTACATGCCTCAGTTTTTGAATCCATCAATGTGAAGCTTACTTACTATTCATAGGATCACTTTGGGCCCGTGACAACTTTTCATCAGAATGTCGAGAACTATAACATATCACAATTCCAGCCAAATTTAGCGGGACCCAATTTCCATTCATTTTGTGCGGGGTCCTTTGGCCGACTCTAACCCAGAAACCAAAATCTATTTTTGCGAAGGATTTTGGTGCACTGAATTTGAATCCGAGATCTAAATTTCTCAATTGGTTCTGGTTTTCGAGATATCCTAACCTAAATGTGTCAAAATCGCCATTTTTTACACATTTGAGGTTATGTTACATGTATAGGTAAATTTTTTTGGTAAAACCATTAATGGGGTCTTAAAGTAACCACTATACTTTTTAAAACGCACTTGGCTTTATCCCGATATCATTTTTCGTCTTTGAGAAATCGCATGCTGAAATTTAGTAGTTTGACTTATTTCTCGATTTTTGAATATGACTGACTACACATTAGAGTTAGGAATTAGATTTTACGCATTTTGAGATTCCAGGTTTGAAGATTTTACGATTGAGGTCTACGAGTTATGGATTTAAGTTCAGGGTTTATGGGCTTAGGGTTTATTTGTTCCAGGTTTGTGGGTTTATAGACTTATGGATTTAAGAGTTAAGGGTTTATGCTTCTGGGATGAGTTTATAGGTTTGGAGTTTATAGGTTAAGGATTTATTGGTTGGGTTTATGTGTTTATGGTTTATGAATTCGAGATTGAGGGTATTATCCTCTTTTGCATGTAAATGTATTTCCAGGTTGATAAAATGCATATCGAATTTTTAGACATTTTTTCTAGGTTTATTGCAAAATTTGACTTGATAGAGTATTTTGAAGTTCAGATTTGTGATCAGTCACCTCAAAAACATATAAAATACCTACTTCCGGGTGCCGATGAATTTAGGTTTGTGGTGCTGTGTTTTCAGTACCTATATTAAAAAATCGAAAAATAAGTCAAACTACTAAATTTCAACAAGCGATTTTCTCAAAGACAAAAAATGATGTCGGGATAAATCCAAGTGCGTTTTAAAGAGTAGGTATAGTACTTTAAGACCCCATTAATCGTTTCAGCAAAAAATTTACTTTTCCGTGTAATATAACCTCAAATATGTCAAAAAATGTTGGCACTATTAGGTTAGAATATCTCGAAAACCAGAGCCAATTGAGAAATTTGGACTTCGGATTCAAATTCAGCGCACCAAAATCCTTTCGTGTTGTTGGGTTAAAATATTGTCGGCCTGTTATTCAAGCTTCGGTTTCTACTTCACACTTGGATAAATTAATATTGTGTGTCTGTTCAGTACACGTAGGTACCAATTTTTTTTGAAAAACAGCGTTTACAATCCTAGCTATAGGCATCCGTACACATTTTAGTCCTCACACCTGATAATACTTCTTTTGTTATTTTCATTGGATGTTTTAATAGCGAGGAAGAACAGTAATAAAGTTTACAAAACATATATTATGTATTTTCTGTGCAGTCAAATAAATTTATCTATTTTTCTTTTCTGATTGTGAGAATTTTTCATTGAGTTAAGTTGTTCTGTAGTTTATACAGAAAGGGCTACTTTTAGGAGTTTTTCGTATTACCCAATGAGATAGGTACCTATCTAGACAGAAAGGAATGAAGACGTCTCAAAAAATTAAACGTCGAAAGTCGGAGTTATAAAATTTCCATTCAAACAATGCATAATGTTTACGTGTTCAGAAAGTTGTTCTTTTGAAAAACCTCGAAAATTTTGTAATAGGTGCAATTTCCGAAAAATGGTTTTCAAGATGAACGAGATGAATCTTAGGTCTTAGGAGCTTTGAAACGGTAGATAATGAAATTTATTCCCGTACGAAATTATTGATTATTTGATTTTGAATTTGTAAAAAATTGTAATTTCAAAGAATGTAGTATGTATATAGTTGTATTACAGTACTTATATAGTAATGTGATACATATTTACACAAAATGAATTGCTAATAAAAAATATCAGCAAATTTTTCAAACTAAATCCCAAAATTTGAAGCGCAACTTGTATAAACTTTGACAGATATGTAAATCAGTTAAACCCTCAATTTTATTCGATCAATTGATTTTTTAGATAGAAGAAATACATTGAAGTTAAATCTGACAAGCGTACAGTTCACTTTTTTAGTTCGTTTATGTCTGTCCATTGTCCTTTTGAAATGAATATTTAATTTAACGGAAAAATAAAAAAGTTTATTAAAGAAAAGCAAATGAATTTCCGATCAAACAGGAAGTTGAATAAAATAATTTTCACTCACCATTTTACCCCGACGGCGGACGCATATGAAAAAATTTTGCGATTTAAAATGAATTTTGGAGAAATTATAACTTTTGTTTTCATAAAAATATACTTTCAGTTTGCATTAGGCACCAATAATTTTTCGAAAATTGTTTATAATAATTTACAAAGGTTTCTAAGAAATTAAAATTTTTTTCACGTCATACCATTTGCATTCAAAAAACAAGTCATGTCGATTAACTACATTGAACACTGTATTTTTTGCAGAACTTCAACATTTCTTTTGATTTCCGAGATATCGGACTGGGCGGTTTTAAACGGAACATCTTGTTGAAACTAAAAATTAATTTTTATTCTCGTAAATTAATTATGCCCGCTATTTTTTTCGTTGGTGCATAGAATACATTGATCATACCCATGTGTCCCATTTAAATAAGTATATGGCTTGGAAGTTATAGAAAACTATCTCGTACGCCACTGATTCTATGACAAAGTCCACCTCTTTACAAAAAAAAATATTAATAAAAAAAAGTTGGAATATGATGCCGTAGAAACGCAATGCAGAATAAAATATGCGATTGAACCACTAATAGTAAGATTTGACCGAAAAAGTAGGTATATCATAAACAGCATACCTCCCGCAGCGGAGAGTGAATCCCCATAAATCAAGCTGTTACTGTTCTTCACCACAACTAGCATGAACTCCAAGACTTCTTGTCACCTGGTAAATTGCTTCATGAGTCATCGAACTTCGCGTCATGTGAAGGCCTCTTTAGAAAGAAATTATTAGTTACCATTTATAAAACAGTCCTAAACCCCTAAAGGTAGACTTCCCATATCGGGACATGTGGCAGGCGGTAGCAACAGGCGACAACGTTATTCGCTGTAGCGAATAAAATTAGTAAAATTACCGAATCTTATTTAGCGCCAGTTTGCTTCAAGGTCAACCGAAATAGAACTAAAGGTGCATTCAGAATCAATTTGCTAGCCAACTTACACTTCGGCACGAAAGTCTGCACGGATTTGACCATTCAGAATAAAATTCAGGCGACACTTGGTACATGCGCGTTGGCTTCAACTTAAATCAGCTGTTTTAGCTGTATACTTTAGGTTATATTTATATTTTGTTTGTTTTCAAAATTTTAAATTAAAATGTAGATTAATAATCCATAATAATAATTAAAGTGAAGTAAATTCAAGTCAGAAACTATTTTATTTAGATTTTATTGAAAAGTAACAAAAACACGACCAAGCTTACTTCACAGTTGGTATCGTATTAATATTCCAATCGTTTTATCCTATTGCTAAAACTTGATACATCAGCTTATTCATATATATAGGTTAATGTTTAGAAACCCGGGGCCTGATTGCTGCGCTGGTCTAGTTGAATAAACATCATCACAATCTCCGAATAGTGTATCCAACTTGACCTTCGCATGGGAATCCGTTACAAAAGTGAGCCAATTCCAAGCTGCTCCCGAGTTTAGCGACGAATTTTTATTACAGTGTATCTCCAATTACAGACCACTATGATAAATCTGACAGATTATAAAATTGAAAAAAAAATGTTGGGCTCACTGAAACGAGCTTCACGAAGAAAATTTTCATAAAATTCATGATTTCTCCGGGCCGTTAGAATTGGTCTTACTCCCCCAAGACCCAGAAGTCTTTTAATGGAGTTTTTTTGCTCGAATTGCTATAATAGCTGTCTTTTTAAGTAACAACAACAACAGCATTGTTACCTGTAAAAGAGGGGATAAAAAGTTTCCCATTCTTCCATCGTGGTTAATCAACATAATGGTTAAACTAATTTCAAAATTCCATAAAATTAAAATTATGTTGACATTTTATTAAAACAATCATATTGCGCATATCCCTTAACCGGCACGGAAGTCGGCACGGACGTCAAATTTGCAGCTTGCGAGGTTTCACGCGCACTTCAACTCGTTTGCCAGCTCGAGATTTTATTCTGAACGGCTACATTGAAATGCGAAAGGTAAGCACGCGTGGCCAAGTCAGACTT